TGCTAGGTTGAAATGTTCATCTATTTCGAACCTTCCAAAGAGTTTCTTGCTTCCGTTAGAGGTTGAGTCTTGTTTGAAAATCATCAGTGTTATTATTAGATTGACTGGTGCCTCAGCTATACTTGTTTCCTTATAACAGTCAGTTAGTTTGGCGCATGTTTGACAATACAGTCGATCATCACCTGTTAAAAATTCCATTTTCAGATGATTTAACAATGAGCTTTGCACGGACTGGTTATTAGTCGTATTAGAAAAAGCTAGATGAAGTTCCAGAAATTCACATAAGTTTTCGGTACTTCTTGAACATTTACCACAAAGTAAGCCAGTGAGATTGTTTGATAGTGAAGTTTGAAAATTTTCCAAGTAAAAATTCCTTACACACCTTTTCGTGTCGACTTCTGTTGAACTTTTGTTTGCTTATTTGCCTTAATTGGTAATTACTTTTTCACCAGGTTTTCTTTTTATGAGATTTGTTATAATATATTATGTGCTTTGGTATATGTTTCCTGTTTTTGTAGTCTGAAATTTGGTCAGCCTGATGCCGCTTAATTTTTTTTCCATTTTTCTCATATTGTAATATGTTTTAATTTTCATAATTGATGAATATTGTTCAGTTATCAAAGTAATTTCATGTACAATTAACTAATTAAAATAACATGTAGATCGTAACGGCTTGTATAAAAGAAATTATAATAATTCTAGGTACAAGTGGTTTTTCAATGGACCTGGGAATGCTTAATAACAATAATGTAATTGGGTCAGTGCATAAAATGAAATTACTGCAATAACTGATGCGAGAATAAATGCAATTTACACAAAGAATTAGTTCAATTTTTTAATAGAATAATCACAGGAAGTGGTACAAACGGTATCATCATTTCCTTCACCTTATCTTTCATAGACAAGCTAATCACATATAAATTGTTGTAAGACTTAAGAGGATGTGATTCAGTGAATGTCAGTGATTAAAATCAAATCAAAAATTCAATCGAATAAAAAAGAGTGGATTTTGGAGAACGGTCGTAAGTAATTGAATAGGAACATTGAAAAAAATATTATTGTCTTGGATAAAAAGAAACCTGATATATGCCTCTTCGTCGATATTGCCAAAGCCTTCGATACTGTCACATAATATCATACCAGCTTATGGAAAATTACCTGAGGCACAGTAAACAGTGTGTCACCATTTATAAAATGAAACGAGCTGAAGAATAGTACTTAGTTATGGAGTGCCTTAAGGAACAGTGCATGTATTGTTTATCTTGTTATTTAGCATAAATATTTCCACTGACATCACCAGTTTTGCATGTGTACGGTTTTCTTTTTTGAATATATCAGTTGAGGTAACTCAAAAGAGAATATCTTTGATGCATTTCTTGATATTTAAAAACAAATCACTAACGAATAGTCTAGAAAAACTGTATTTTTGCCCTTTACTAGCTGTGGAAGCAATCTTTTGAGTTACAATACTATGGATACAGTTATATTCAAATGAAATCTTCGAAAACAATAAAATACCTAGATATTATTTTAAATAGCAATGAAACATGCACATTAACAATCTGACAAGCTTTGATATTTAGTCAGATTGTTTTTCAATAAATCGTCGACTAAAGAAAGATTGTGGAAGGTTATATACCAGAAAAAGGAAACAGTAAGAAGTATTGAGTCTTATTAGTCAATGGGCTATGCTTGAAGACTGGCAATAAACAAATCTAAAGCAAATGGAACTTCAAACGTTCAAGCCAGTCTCTATATACCTACACAGTAGGTTTAATGGACTGACGCCTATCAGAAAACAACTACTCCCCTGGCTAATACCACGAAGGGCGTTGGATTATATCAGACAGGCGTCAGTGCAGGAATCTTCACAGAAAATGTCCTGCATATGCAATTGGCAATACAANTAGGTTATTTCACTATCATTTCATTTCAGGTTTATTGTTGCTTAATATAATTGTTATTTTCAACTATTCTTTTTTAATTATTCTTTTTTCTTGTTTCAGGGATTTCAAATCATTTTATATAGTAGACAATGGAAGTCCGAACTAGTGAAATTCATCACGAAACATTGTCAATCACCTTCAAACAAACGAATAATTAACACGTTTTTGAACTCAGAAACTGATGTAACAAGCGTATATTTCGAATATTCATTTTCGGTTCCACTTAGTGGAACAAGAATTTCAACAAAGAGATCAATGAATAAATAATACTTTTTTCACATTTCCACCACAACTATCCCTGAGCCTTTGAAGGGTAATTCAACTCATAGTCTCGCTTTTCCCATTGAATATTTTCTACAGTTTCCAATATTGACTATTTGCCAACGTTTGGACGCCGAAAAACTTTATTATTTGCGACAAAGTAACTTATCTGAAAGTTTTCCTTACATGCCGGATGACATTCTGTTAACATGAAACTTTTCTTCTTGTTACAGCCCTATTTGATGCGGTCCAGCATGGTTATCTAGAAAAGGCAAGGACAATATTGGAGTCAACAGACGTAGACGTGAATAGGTAAGCAAAAAGTTTGAGGAAAATGAGGGCCGGAGACAAGAGAAAAGTAAATTAAGAAACATCTCGTGCACCCGCCGTCCAAATCACTTCGCTATATCACCGGGCAGAGAAATGGTCTAGTATGACTTCTCAGAAAATTACCTGTGGCGGTAATTGATTTATAAAGAGTGTAATATATGTTCTGTCTCTTTAAATTGGTGAAATTGAAGCACTCTGAGACACTAGTAGATATTTTAATCAATGTATTGTCATTGGACAATAGAACAATCTAGTTGTTGATGGGTGATGTTTATATTAGCCACAATACAAATTATAGAAAATCATAACTATAATACCAGTAAAAACGATACCATACGAAATATATAATTTCCCTTAAAATATTGGAGACTGGTAAAGTCCACCTTTGAAACAATCATTTAGGTGTCAAGAAGATATAAACTGCAGGTGGATAGAATGCATACTTAAAGGAAGATTGGTATTCGCTGAATGTTCAAAAAGTAAGGTGAATTTTTATTTTTCTCGAAAAATATGTATTTATTCTTCAATTCCAATTGTAAAAAAAAAACTAATCAATAGAGTTTATTCTATGATTTTCACTATAAGGGTTTTACAAAAACCGCGACACGTGTTTCGCTATACAATAGCTTCTTCAAGCATAAGTTATGCTTGAAATATGGATTTTCATCAAGTATCGGCCAGTTCTATTCAATTAATTCCAATTGTCACCTCCATATACTTGTGCAGTTCTGATACGCACTTTTTGGTACATATCTTCAATCTTGGGGACAGCAAAAGTCGCAGGGGGGCAAATCTGGTGAATACTATGGCTGGGGTGTTGTTTGTGGCCAAAAAATTCCGAACAAACAATGGCGAGTAGGCAGGTGCATTTTCGTGATGCAACAACCATGACGGACATTTTCTCCTCATTATATCTCGCAAGCGGCGCATAACTTCAAGGTAATATTCTTATTGACCACTTATTGCACTACGCCATGTTAATCGAAAAAAACATCGAACAAAACTTTGGTTTCGATGTTATAAGCATCATATATAAGCAAAGAAATCTGGATCGCCGTAGAAGTCATTTAAAAATTCCTGAACGATGCTCATGTGATGGTTTTTTTGGACAGTGAAAATCATAGAATGAATTCTATTGATTAGTTTTTTAAATATGGATTTTCATCAAGTATCGGCCAGTTCTATTCAATTAATTCCAATTGTGTCACCTTCATATACTTGTGCCAGTGTTTTTTCCAATCCTCGAAACAGTTCTGATACGCACTTTTTGGTACATATCTTCAATCTTGGGGACAGCAAAAGTCGTAGGGGGGCAAATCTGGTGAATACTATGGCTGGGGTGTTGTTTGTGGGCAAAAAATTCCGAACAAACAATGGCGAGTAGGCAGGTGCATTTTCGTGATGCAACAGCCATGACGGACATTTTCTCCGTATTATTTCTCGCAAGCGGCGCATAACTTCAAGGTAATATTCTTATTGACAACTTATTGCGCTACGCCATGTTAATCGAAAAAAACAGCGAACAAAACTTTGGTTTCGATGTTATAAGCATTATATATAAGCAAAGAAATCTGGATCGCCGTAGAAGTCATTTAAAAATTCCTGAACGATGCTCATGTGATGGTTTTTTTGGACAAAATTCAGAAACTTTGGTACGAACTTCTAAAATGAGGAAATTTATCAATAAAAACATAAAGAGTACTCTGCCATGCAGGAAAACCTTCACAAAGGAAACGTTTGAAAACAGAACGGAAGAATTGCTCCAACAGAGCAATTCAGTGGACATATCGTCATTTCAATGAGAACATCCGTATAGAACTTGGGCTTATCTTTTTTTTATTAGGTATGTTTGGGAAGAGCAAAGAGATGTGAATATCAAGAATGGTGTGTTGTATTTTGAGAAATCCAGTTGAAATTATTTTCAGTGTCTGTCTTTATTTGTGTAAGGGATATTATTCTGAATTTTCTACTTTTTTTGAATTCTATTTCATCGTCTACTATCCTAAAACTCCAGCAACATTTTTGATGGTCTAGATTGCTTTTTATGTTAAAACTTCTTATTCTTCTTCGTTCGTTAATATTAATAGACGCCTCCGTAAAAATTTCATAAGTTTTGTTATGAACATATAATCTTCAAACCAAAAAATCTATTGTTCATTGTGCTCTACCGCCTCCATTTTTAATAATATCAAAAAATGACAAAGAAACTTTTTGCTTTATTTCATATGCTTTATAATCTACGTGAACTCATTATTCAATGCAACGTTTCATTCATTGAATTCCATCAACAGATATTCGTTTTATACATTATCGTAGTCACTATCATTACAAATTCGTTGTCATATCAAAACATTTATATTTCCCACGTTCCTTCCCGAAACCACATCATCACCATCATTTTTTATTAAGAGCTCGAATTTCCGAATGTTACAGGTTCTCCTGTCGATAATGTTCATTGAGATTATAAATATTTGTATTCACTGAAATCCAACTAAATTTTTGTCAGAGTCGTCTTGAAAAACAGAGACCAATAATATTTGTATCAATACCAAGTCATTCATAATTTCCAAATGTCTTTTGAAAATTTGAGGATATCAACAAGAATTAACTAATAAAAATACTGTATTGAAAAAGTCATAGATGATTTTCACGAGAAACTAGATGAGCGATAGTTTCTTTTTTTGAAGTAAGCCACATGAAATACATGAATGTGAATGTCAAGTTGATTGTCACACACAAAATAAAAGTTATTCAAATTGTTGAGCGATTTTAAGGGAGAAACATTAATTTTTCCAATGACGAAAAAGTGGATATGTTTTTTGTATATTCGAAATGTTTGAGGAATGCTACCAAATCTCTGGCAATGTATCAGGAATTGTATCCTGAACGACGACAACCTAATCATAGATATTTGCAACGAATCGAATATACTTTACGGAATTATGGATCTTTTGAAAAACCCTCTGAAAGAAAATGTACGGTTACTGAATGTGGTGGCGATAATGAAATCGGCGTTTTAGGTGAGTTCAAAGAAGATTCACAATAAAGTGACATTAATTTGATTTCGGATTTATGGAAAATAAAAAAATTGAGAACAATGAAGTATCTCTGAGAGAGATTGCTCATAATTTGGCCATATTCACTACGTCTATATGGAAAATTGAGATCTATCAGCATCCCAGCAATTTCAACAGAATTGAAGAATGTATATCGATTAACAGAATATGGTATATTCAGTACTCAAGGTCAGACAAGGACTAGAATACAATTTCAAGCCAGTGAGGACCAATCAGAACGACCCAGTAAAATTTCACACCAATAATGAGTGAGCATTTGCATGGATGCTTCGTTATCACTCCCACCACCATCCTCTAAAATTGATAATACGTGTGAACGTCTAGCTTGTCAGTCAGTCATTACTGAGACTTTCAGATATAACCTTCGTGGACGCAGTCAACATATGTTCACTGGTGATGTCTGCCGCAGTAGCAGACGAAACGTTTGGGACTTCAGCTTTCATTCGACAACACTGCCAGTTCAGATTTTGATATCTTCAATATCAAATGAGACTTATACCTGTTACAAACCTAGTTCATAAAATTATTCTACTGTCTAAATTCAAATACTTGAGAAGCATTCCTAACTAAATATGGCATAATAGCGTATATTATAGTCATATAAATAATGTTCAATATTGAAATAATTCAGAAGTGTTCATCAGGTCATCAGATGACCCTTACAAGCTTGATATGTTCTAGTCTAGATATAATAGAAATGTTCCATTTGAAATTAACTATCGACCAAAAACGAGATCGAGGCCAAATATTTGTAAGCTACTCTTACTCAGCTAGGTGAAAAAATATACTTTTCAGGGAAAAAGTGTTTAGCCTTCTACTTCTACATCTTCATTGAAAAAAATTGGGAAAAAGGAAAAGAGAAAGCAATAAAGTTCAAAAAACCCTTTAAATTGATTTGTATGAGTAGATCAGGCATAAAAATCACTTTCAGATACAAACTAGATGAAAACCCCCTTTCAAAATAATTACTTTCACATGAATATTGAATTGAACGAAAGAAAAAGGAATTTCGTAACAATTACATTGAGTTATACGAAAATCATTTTTTCTGTACTCCAAACATTCCACGTTATGAAATTGAAACTAATATAATTCATAGGGGCGCTAAACGGTATAATATATAAAGGAATTACAATATAAAATTTCACTTACATCATCCTCGAAGTTTCAGAATACGATACTTGTCAAATTACCTCATCAGCACTATTTTGGTTCGACATTAACCTGAACTATTGCCCAGAGATCTGGAATGTTCCTTGGGCCTAAGATATATAATGATCTGTAAATTTAATTGAAACAACTGAACTTCATTTCTCAATTCAGAAAGCACAAAACTAATTTCAAGATCCAATATCGATTGATTAACATAAAAAATGTAAATCTGAGGCATGTTGGCATCACATCAACACAATTCATCCTTTTTTTAATTTGGTCATTGCTCCATTTTTCTTGATTCATGATATAATTTTGAGTTAGTTTCAATACGTGTTTTTTTCTGCATTCTCAACCAGATTGTGATAACTTTTTGGTTATTATTGCCTTCTTCACGAAACGATGACTACTGTTTATTGCCATATTATCTTTCTTTCTTTTTCCATAATTGAATCAACTTTGGTCGACTGCTGATTTTTATAATTAAGCTATATCTAAAAACTGTTTATTTTTCATAATTAAATTCATGTATCATTTAATTTTCTACTTGTGGATGAACACGATTATCATTATTATCATTGCCGATCTCAGCTCTACATCGCAATGTACCGTGAAATGAGGTAAATAAAGTATTTGAGGTGAATAGGGTCAGAAGTCCACTCTGTCCCTTCCAAAGAATTGTTCAGTTTAGCCACGTCAGTAAATTTATCTGTTGAAGAGCAATATATTACTGAAAACTTGTGATAAGATGTT